TGCATGGTCATTTTATTGATTAGAAGTGAAATTTGTCCAGGTTAGTTAAAAAATCTTTCGCAACGGTGCCAATTTTGATACATGGTTTCCTACGTTGTTGCCAATATGCCATCATAGGCCTTGTGTTTGGCAAAAAAAAACCCGGTCAATTGTTGCGAACTTACCTAATAAAGAGTGGATAAATCAGTTGACTCGCGTCTATAGTAGATCCCACTGACTGCCAGTCACGCAGAGTTTCATGGAAATAACCACTATGAAGGGAAAGGTGTTTTGTCCACTCTGTACTTGACTTTTCTGCCTCCATCTTTTCTTCGGTTCCAAAAGGCAGCACCACCTCAGATCCCTGTGACTATTTCTTCCAATGGAAGTCTTTTCTCGGAACTAAGGATGGGGGTGTGAGCGAGGTGCGTACTAGATCCCTGGGCTGGAGGGGCTCCTAAAGAAATGTTCGAAAATGAGATTAAAACCCCATAAAATCATACAGTGTATAAAAATAATATGTCCATGAACCAGACAGACACTAGAGGTGGCATTTATTTAATCTAAATAGATCAGATTGATTAAATCCAGATGGGTTAGTGTCTGAACTTCTCATGTAATTACGTGAAGTCATTGCTATAGCTTATTTTATCAACATTTGAATGACTAACTAAATGAGTATTTACTTTGATAATGGGGCCTCCGACGAATGAGGGGCCGAGTGGCCATGCCCCCCCCCCACTTTCCTACAAAACAATGGAGCTTTTTTCAAAATCTCCTGTCATGGCTGTTAAAGTTTTCCTTAACTCCCCCTTCTCTCCTTTTTCAACCTATGTCGGAGCCCATGGATAATTTATCTAAGTAAAATTTGCACACAATTTTTTAGTGGTACAAAACTTAAAACGTTTTCGATCTATGTTCTAACGTTTTATACTCTGAAGTTTGCCTAGCTAGAAGCTTTAGCAAGACTCAAAAAAATGTTTGCTTTTTTCAAAACCATTTTGAAATAGAATTAGCAACTTTTCAGCAATCAATAACAAGCATAATTGCAGAGATTGATCTACACATTTGCAAAAGTTACAATAAATAGTGAATAATCCTTGATTTCTCTCAAGTTTTTAATGATCTATGAAGACCAAGTGGCAATGTAGATATGTCAGTACAAGGAAGTACTAGAAGTCTCGGGAAGCGCAATATGTTTGGCTTACAGAGTCTGCTGATGGAAAGGGCAACGGATATACTGCAAACTAAGCTTGCTTTTTACTGCGCCTGCGCACTGTGTTATGGGTAAATTTGGGCTATTTCGACGTGATTTGGCCTATTTTCATAAACGGTTTTGCTATTTAGTACCCATACCACCAGGCAATCCTGGTTTTCAGTCGTTAGTCGAATCATTGCCGTAAAAGGAGAATTTTGATTTTATCCGCCGTTGCCGTATTTTTGAGCATTTCTGTCTACAACGAACTCACGTTTGTAAAACTCTTTTTTAAGTTTTACAATATTTCATCGATTAACCAAAAATGTTCTATTTGCAGGCTCCTAGAACTGATTATGAAAGTTTATTCCATAAAATTGTAATGAGAAAACAAGACATTTTATGACATAAAATGGCACTGAACCGGGCTGCTGGACGCAGGTCTGAAGAAGGGGTCCAAAACGAATAAAAAGGGCACGATTATCTTTTTTCCGAAACATTAGTAAGTGCCAAAAATGCTACTGATCTCACGGTAATTTAGATATTTATATAAATAAGGACACATGTTGGACATAGTGAAATCTATCTTCGCTGAAAGCCGATATGGCTATCTATGTACTCCATTTAGCGACCACGCACTCTTGGTCATAATTAATTGTGTACTTTCCCATCTCATGGCCTTCAAAATTTTTTTGAGAGTGTAAATCTTTCTTCCATGTGTGGTTTATACTTCTACTACAATACGCTGTACTTATTTTCTTTATAACTTGCATTGTAAATGGATTTGGCCCCGGGTAAGAAGCAGGCACATATCCTTCTTTCATACTTGTGGCAGGCGCATTATACTCAACAAGCGCGTTATGTTCAGATTTATTGCAACATACCAACGAATTCAACCCAAAATATGAAGTGAATGGAATTTTTAAATTCTTTGTCTCTATATACTTCAATGCCAATTCTTCACTGCCATTAGCAAATTTGATTTGCAACATTGATTAGGTTGATCTCATCAGTCTTATGAACGACACAAGTTTTAAACTCTCCTTAGACTTGATCCCGGGGGGCTCAGTCAGTTGGTCTAAAGTATAACACGTGAGTTCCGAAAAACTCTGAGAAAGGGTGGTCTGAAAGCTAGAATTCTGGGACATAGAATCTTGAAAATAGGGTTGCTTTTTTAATCAGTCAGAGGAAACACAAAACGGCAGGAATTTACTGATATGATGTTGCAGATAATTTTTTGGTAAATCAATGGCATATTGAAGTAAAAACAAATTTTGCAGTAGCATCTAGTTTTGTATATTGTTCTAATCCTAAATAAGAAATTCAAGTCATTGTTTAAATCTTTGTCAGCATGTACACATTGCAGGGACACAACTTTTCCATTTCTTCATAAAAAACATCGAAAGCAATACTTGTGAAGTAAGCAATATGATGCAGTTATAGTTTTACAGATGTCTGATTTTGTTAAAGCATATGTCAAGAACCATAAGGGATTGTTGTTAAAATCAAATTTAGTGAACTCTGCTTTTCAACCTGCCTAGACATAAGTTCTAACAAAAGATTGGTTCTAACATGAATTGGTATCAAACATTCCTGCTCAAGCTTGAATATTCCCAGTGAAAAGAATCACACAACCTTGGCAAAGTCACAGAAAAGGATACATTTTATGCATCCCAGAATCAGAGATAGGGGTACAGTTTCTACTTACAGGAACACACATGATATGCATTGGACCAACTGACTGTGCCCGTCGAGAACTTGATGCGGACTTTGCACTAATGCGTTTGTTGCTTAAGATATAGTTAGGAAATTTTTTCGCGAAACTGGCAGTCTATATCGCAATTAAAATTGTTCATCACAGGAGCTTATGCTTCTTGCATCACGACCAAGTAAAAATTTAAGGAAATTTCAGTGAATGGTCCTCCAACAACGCCCAGAGTTATGTCATTTTACTTAGCTTCTAAAGGCAGAATATTTGGAAGTGAAGAAAAACACGCAATATATTTTTCGAAAAGGGGCACTTGTTTATACTTTTTGCAAACAGGTGGGGCTGTGCCCCCGTGGTCCCCTCTTCCATTCTCCTTAGCAATTCCTTCCCCCGTTCTTCATCCTTTGACTCTCTGAGGCTCTGGGACCCAGGGTATGGCGGACCCAGCTGGAAGCTGGTTGTGAAAGCAGAGGATCTAAGACCTCTGAAGGCAAAGGCTGTTCACAGGCAGAGGAACTTGGAAGTTAGTTGGTGATTTCTGCAAACGCACCATATAGAAGGTAATGACAAAACACTTTCGTATTTTGCCTTGTTTAATCATGGTGATGTCAAAAACAAATAGAAATGAAACTTCGAAGGATCCTCAAAATGGGATCTCGTTCGGTAGGGACCATAATGTGCTACAGGTGATACCCGACCGCCAACCTAGGACTGCATGCCGTGAAAAGTTAAAGGACATCGTAATGAAAATAAAAAGACTGAAGAAAAGAACCTCTGACATCAGCAGATCGAGGAGAGAGATGACCAGAAAAATAAACATTCAAATGATGTATGAAAAAGGAAGGTAGCGAAGAAACAGAACGTATCTACTGTAGTTGAATAGCGGATGAAGATGGCAGTATGTTGATGAAACTTAATCATAGGGGAAGGTGGACGGAGTACATCAAGTCTAAGCAGATACAGATAGACCAGCGATTAGGAAACAGATGCCTGGGTAACCGATAACAAAGGAAGAAGTTAGAGATGCTATGAAAAAGTTGAAGAAAGGGAACGCAGTAGGTGACGAGATAACATTTGAACTGATCACAGGTAAATGAATATAGAAAAATCTATCATGTTGAAGAATTCGACTGCGTGAAACATGGGAAGCTGGTGAAAATGCTAGACAGTTAAGAGATTGATGGGGAAGATTTCAAGTAGACATACAGAGAGGAGTGCGACAAGGCTGCGTTCTATCACCAGATTTGTTTTTCTTGTAAAATGAAAAACTCTTACTGAAATGAAAACATACGAAAGAGTCAGTCTGGAAGGAACTTTAATAACTTTAGATTACATAGCGTTGATTGCAGACAGTGAGGTGAAGCTACAGTGAATGTTAGACACTACAACAACAGAAAGCAAGCAGTTTGAAGACAAACTGTGAAAGTACGCAAGTAAAAGTTGCCAGTAAGAGGGCACTGATTCCTGAAGGTATTGCGTGCAGGTAAATGAAGTGCAAATAGAGAAAGAAATTATACAATTACTCAGGCAGTTGAATAGCATTAAATGGGGGATCAGAGGTCAGGCCAAGACGGCATTTATGAGTATGACGAATGTACTGAGTACGGGGAAGATGCGATTGACTTTTAAAAGCTGTTGTTAAACTGTTTTATCTGGTCAGCGCTATTGGATGGATGCGAGTCATGGACAAGAAAAATATGGAAAACGAGGTGCTTTTATTCTGTATCAAAGCGATTTTTTCGATAGGTCAACTTGCCAATGCCTCATTCACACTTTACGAGCGACATATGCACTAGCTTATAGCGATTCAGTTTTGATTGCCACAACTTGAGTCGCCGTCTATGCTCACTAACAGTTAGAAGTAATCCAGAAATAGGCATGATTTCAAAAACGACCAGAAGTAGGATGTAATTAACAAAAATCAATAATATAAATCAATCTCTGCTTGTAACATACAATGGCTTACATTTCCCCATATAACAAAGAGACCGGTGCAAATGAAGAGGGATTACAAAAGTGATCTGCAGTTGGCATCAATACCCGTGTCCGAGTTTCTTGGATAATTGCACAATATTATTACTACATGTGTTATGTAAGGATAATTTCACCTTCTGGTCAACATGAATCAATCGAATTTTTGTCCGGAATGACACATGTGAAAGCAAAAACAAATAATAATTCAAAAGGATGGCTCAATAAACAAGTCAGTTTTCAAGACAAAAGCAAAATGAGTTTCATTTTCAAATCTGTAAGCAACAAGCAAGAAATCTGCTAATAACAAGGCAACTCATGAATTTATAAAGATGATTTACTGAGAAGAGTTCCTTGAACAACAGCGATGAAAACATGCTTATCATTTCTAAACTTCAAACTTATCAAAGGAACAGGTAGGCTTTAATGTCACAAAGCCTAGATTGTTCACTTTTTGCTTTTTGGTTGTATAGGCATTCCCTTCTCTTTGCCACGCAACCTCACCCCTGTGTAAGAAAAAAAAATTAAAATAAAATTTCTAATTATGTAAAGAATTAACAATGACCAATGCAAAGGTTCAAGCTATCTTCACAGATTTTATGTTTATACGATAGTTTGAGGATGTTTTTGTTGAAGAAGAGATGAATAAGTACAATAATATTTTCAATATTGCTATTTTTTCTTCATATTTAAAGCACATCTTAAAACTACTGTTGTTTAGATGCTGATTCATGATTGGAAAATTAACATCGCTAACAAAATGTTTTTTCCTTAAATGGATAAAACTTTGATAAACATTAGGGTGCTCTTTCTTTAGGTAATGATACAAAAATATTTCTAGAACACCTTTTTACAAAATGCTTTACCTTCCACTTTTTTAAAACAAAAGAGCACTTAGGCAATTAATCTGTAATTTGCACTTGATAAAACTACTTTTGGCAAAATGACTACCATTTCATTTAGAGTCAATTTTGCAACTATCCTTGAAATGAAAGTATTTTGGGATTCCTTTCTTTCAACTTTTCAATCTTCATGATTTTATTCCAAGGATATTTGCTTCACAACTCTATGGTGATTAGTCCTAGAAAATCTGACACTACTAAATTTTTTCACTAACATTTTGAGTTGCTTAAAGGCATTTGACATGCATAAGTACAGCGAATTCAAGAATAACTCGTGGAGCAGCCGTATCAAATATCTAATTAACATTTATAGTAAAATATTGGAAACATGCATTGGCTGAACACTGCTTTTAATAAAAGATCTAAATATATTCCTGTGTCTAACTGATTCAACACATGCAAAATTCTGCATTCAGGAAATGCCTAGTACATACCCAAAGACCTTTCCAGCTTTGACATGATTTGGTTATTTGGGATTGCTCTCCCAGCTTCATAGTCATTCACTACTTGAGGTTTTTCATTTATCCGCTGATGGTGACAAATAAAAATCAAGATTTAAATCAATAAATTAGAGCTAAAAATTAAAAGCTTATTAGAATATAGAAGGGTATTGCAATTGCATTTTATCCATGAAGTCAGTTGATGGAATTAAAAAATCTTAGTTTTGTGTGGGGGTGATGACATGGGCGACATCAGTTTATAAAGAAATAAAAGGGAGAAATTTAAAGATTGCAAAAGGTAATGTTTGTTCCCCAGCACATTCCAAGGGCAAATTAGGTTTAGTCCCAGTAGTGTTAAACTTGCACTTTAAAGGGAGGCCACAGGCCTGGCCGTTTGAGGCGAGCGATAGCTCGCGCTTGCCTCCACGCTCACCTCGCAACCTGAGGCGAGCAATGAATTGCTCTCCTAAACAGAACATGAAGGGAGAATCGCTCCCCTAAAATTTCCATTCATTTGCCCTTTTCCTATTCAGAGAATTCTGAAAACATACAAGGGTTAATTGGTTTATTTTTGTAACAGCAATTTCTCCCGTCATTGCATTTTTGCAATTATTTTTTTGCTTGTTGGGCGGTTTTTATTATGATAGGCATAAACTTCGATCCATTTGGAAAAGGATAGTTAACTGAAAGGTATGTTTGTAGTGATTAGAACCTTTCAATCTTAAGAAAACAGGAATATTTTTTGAAGGAAAGTCGAAGAAATTGGTAGGAATTGTAGATTGGGGATATAATAAGACAGCAGGTCCCTTCCAGCAATAGAAACAAAACTATCCCTCAAAGAGAACAAGGTACTCTGTCTTGCAAATCAAAAACGACAACCAAAACATGGAATTCCACTATCCAGCAGCATTTACTGAAAAACCCAGATTGAGTGAAAAACTATAATGGCAACATGTTTTGCATTATTTGCAAAGCCTGATCATCGTTCCATCTAGCAGTTGTGAATCTATCTACTATATAAACATGACTGACCGCTTCTGTGTAGACATAAGTGTGTTTGTTTTCACCTTAGGACTCCGTTGGTAACATTTTCAATAGGAAAGCGGCACTGATTGGACAACCTCAACAGTCATGTGCTGGCGTTTTCTGATTGGCCTAGTTTGATCCAAAACTGGGCATTATAGTGTAGAGTTTTCCATCTATGTTCTGATGTTTTATTCTCTGAAGAGTGTAGGGGGTGCCTAAGTCACGGTTAAAGCAAATACAAATTGAAAGAAGTAAAACAGCATACTCCTGACTGAGGCTATTAAAGGCAACCCACAGATACTAAAGGGGCTTATTAAGTCATCTGTCGATCGTCTTTAAAGTACATTCTATGTGTTACTGATTTAGCTCGCCTCAGCAAATGAGGGGAGCGATTCACAGCTCACTTATGAAAATACAAACAGCCAGGCCTGAGGCCAGTTCTTGTTAATAAATGGATAAGGGTCTGGTACTAGATTGTTTACTAAGAGGGAAGACTTACAGTTGCTAAATCTTTTTGGGTCCATTCTTTCTCTACTCTTGCTTTCTGTATTATTTTCCCAACATCAAGTGTGATAGTGCTATCTAAAAAAAGGAAATGTTGGCAATGCATGTCAGAATTACTAATTCCAGAGATACTGCCAATGCCCTCAATAGAATTCTCTACAATAAATACAAAGGTTGCAACTGGCAATTAAATCTCTACTCTATTGTCAAAGATGTCACACAAATTACAAAGTTTACAATATTTCACAGTGGTCATAAGCCTTCTTCAACGCGAAACCATTAGCTGACAGTGTTCATAAGCCATCTTTGAATGACTTCCATGGTAAGATAGAAAGTGAAGGGAACAGTCATGAAAACAGAAAAATATGATGCAAAGAAACAAATTATTGCAAGTTCCTAATTCTAACACCAGTTGAAAAAAGATAAAACTCCAGGAACAGAGAGGAAAGACTGTAATGATTGCTGGATTTAGTTTTAGATAGGGACTTACGGTGTAATTCTTCAGTTTCCCGGTCCAACTTTGCAGTATCTCTTGATGCTGTATGTTGTTTGTTTGAGGCTGCTGAAACTGTGCAGATAATATGTTTGTGAATGCAAAGCTTCGGAAAGATCTCATATTGCTTGAAATTTGTCTTTGTCTAATGAACTAATGTTAAATGACAATTATACATTTTCAGAAAATACCCAATAGTGACTTAATTAAGCATTTGGCTTGGTTCTGCCCTCTTAAACATTGTGCAAAGTATGTGTTTATTTATCCATTGCAATGTCTGAAACAAATTATAAATTGTGAACTTTGAAAATAGAGACCTTTTAAATCAATTACATTCAAATAAACTTTTGCATCAACTCTCATGTATTTGTAACATGGATAAAAACAAATTGACAAAAACAGTGGGCTTTTTGAAAAATATACTTCTGAGGTGTACTTGTTATGGACAAGGCTTGAGCTTAAACCTTAAGTTTGTGGTTGTGTTGAAAAGGGGGCAAACAAGAACTGAGCTCTGCCTAGTTATCATATATACATTCCATTACAAACTTTATGTCAGTCATCCTGCTTGAATTGCTCGTAATGGTCAGAATAGATGCTCAAACTTAGGTTTTTTCATAGAACTCACAAAAAAGAGCATGGCAAGGCTGGGAGCACCCCTGCCCCCTAAACTTTTACTATGAAAAATAATTTGAGCAGCCTGGCTCTCCCTTCATCCCATTCAAAATAAGTTCAGTGTTCCTTGTGAAATCTGATGACTAAAGCGATGGACTTGTTGATTTTTGCAAGCAAGCTCTCACCACATTTCAAGTTGCTATTACTAGATTATCTTACTTTTGCCCGTCATAGGTAAGCATACATAAGTGCTACCTGCTGGTCTAAGACATTACTATTTTGTGTTAAACACTCCCTAGAACATGCACTTGACATATGATATTGCAATAAATTGGTTTTGACCCTCAGAAATATTACTTCCCAAATGTATTTTGGTTATAGCATAATCTACTAAAACGAATATCATCAAATGGCTGCACAGTTTAATTTTTAAACCTTTCTTAACAGACTATATTCCACATTCAAGAATCCATACATTTTTTCTCTGTATCAACTCCAGTTCCTTTTCTCATTGCTGTGTTTATAGCCTGAAATAGAACATTGCATAAAATAAATTTAAAAGAAGCTTAAATAAACCTGAAGATGGATATTATCAGTTACGCTTTCTAAAAGCATAGTTTACAGGAACATGTCACCCTATTTGATATTCCGGCCTTGGACTAGGTGGCCATGCATAATAGGCCTAATCGAAAACAATTTGCCGGAACAAAATAACAGACCTCTTTTGAGCGCGCTTCCTTGGCTTTCATTGGTTTCTTCTTCAAATACGTTACTTGGTCCCATTCAGCCATTTTTATTTTCTATTCTTGATGTTGTTCTTTTCCACTTAGTATGTGAACTCAGAGTACAAACGCACGCTACTTCCTCAGCTTGTTAAAAACAATACGTCGTAATTGCATCACATGGAGGGTGCTGTAATATGGTGGCGCATGGTGCAATCTTTGCAATGTCAGCTCTTTTTAGAGGATGATTTCTTGGTTAGACTAGACAAAATGAAAGTGGCAAATGATTTCAGGGGTGGCGCTAGAAGCCAAACAACGATGTGCCGACATTTTTAGAAAAATTTAAGTGCCGACGACTTTAGAAATGGTTGCCGACACATTTCATGAACTCCCCTTCACAGTTTCTTTAAATCTTAAAACGTTTTGAAAATTAACGAATAACTGTATACTTTCTTCAAACTAACAATATCGTTGTTTGTGCTTAGCTCGTAGGCCTTTACACCGTTTACTGGCTAAGCAAGTTTGAGCCATTTATTGCTTAGTTTCTGCCAAAGACAGTATGATCTTGCTTTTGAAAATGTTATTTTAAAAAGATCGAGGACAACATCAAGGTCAAGCATCTAGGCCTATTTTAACTGAATATCAAGGAATTATCTTGTTGAAAGTGAAAATGGCTACGCATTTAATAGTTATCACAAGGCCTGCGTCAAGATATCATGAGACTTTCAGACTTCCAGAAAATTTCTTGGAACTATCGGCTTTGAACTTCAATTTAATGGTTCTTATAAAAAAAGTAAAATCTCATTCGACAGTTTCAAAGTGCCGACAGTTCCATTTCTTTTGTTTCATCGGGCTGCCGACGGGGTGTCATTTGGAACTTTGGGGGGGGGGCATCTGCCCCCCATGACACCCCAAAGCGCCATCCCTGATTAATTTCAAGGATAATAATTTTAAATAGGTTAATTTAAACGCCTCTTCAGAATAACGCACTTCCCTTGAAAAGAGGAAGCTATTAGAAAATGAAAAGTAGGGCCAACGTGCCCCCCCCCCAACTTTCTGCAGGACAAAGCAGAATTTTATAGACCGTATACTAGCATTCTGTAAGTTATTGTGCTTAAAAATGCCCCAAGGATGCGTTCATAATGTATGGAGAAGGGGGGCAGGTGGAATATTTTATTACCCCAATTTTTTTTAACACCCTGTCCACAACTCATGCACCAATTAGAAATCCTACCCAGCAATGATATGAAGTTTTCCACTCCCCTTGCTCCCTTGAAAACATCACAAAAATTTAAATTATGACAATATAAAGTTCACTTTTTTATTAATGTACCTATGCTTTATATCTTCCACTAGGCCTACTACACTGCCTTCCAGGTCTAGAGTTTAGTTTACTGCTGATCCTTGATATACCTGAGGTGCATTCATATCTTCTCATCCTCATTTTCATGGGAATCTAAAAATTGTGTCATGTGCACAGTACTTGGCTACAGTCATAACTAAGCAGATTAGCATCTATTTAACAATTTTATAGCTCTAAAAATACGAATAAACTTGTGCAAATAAATGCATTTCGGTAAAATCCCATAAATATTTCTCTCGCCCCTTGGTTCGTGGCGCTAATCCTTGGTCCATTGTCATCACTTAACTATTGCAAACTTTTGAATGATTTTATTGGGGTCTGAAACTCACAGGAAATTAAATTTGATGCCATTAGGCATAAGGCAACACCGCGCTCTTGTGACATTTTGGACATTTTTTAACATTTTCAGCATGAAAAACTTCTTTCACGGAAAACAGCTCTGCATGGAAAATCGAGTAATAATCTAAATGCAGTCACTGCATTTGGGAAAGTTGCAACCAGGGCCGTCCAGAGGTTTTGGAGGCCCTGGGGCAAAACGAAAAGATGCGATCCCGTGCGGGAGGGGCAAGAAGAAGTTTTGTCACAACGCCCTTAAGATTAACTTATAGATATTTCAGAATACTTCTTTCAGTCATTTATTTTCTTGGAATCGTTTAGAATGTTTTACTTTTTTAGTTTGTTTTGCTAGGTTTGACTAATTCCATTCATAAAACTGCAATTCAAATACACGATCAGTTTTAACTGATCAGTAATTCCACCACACTATTATTTACCTGTTAACTGTATTCGTGTTGATTAGAAATATTACTGGATGAAAATGAGTTTGTGTTTGTGTTTATAAGAAACCTCCATGTTTTCTTCTTATTTCCTTGGAGAGGGAGGGGGCGGCGGGTCGGTGCCACTGTGGTCGGTGCTTATATTTCTTGTCGTTGGCCTCACTTTCAGTTTCATTCTCGTGTTGCCACCGTCGTGCTTCGAAAATGGCGGCAAATGATATACAAGGATACGAACTACAATGCAAGTTAAACTTGCTAGATCTTATTCCTGTTGAAAAATATAAGTCAACACTCACTGGGCTCACTATTTGTGTTGCTAATGTTGAAGGACCGCTGGTCAATGGGTATTTTTGTCTTGGTAAGATTTTTAAAGTTGGAGTTTTACTGCTTTCTCACAGAGTCTTTTGCTTTTGACAACAAAAAATCCGAAAAATATCTTGAAAATTAAAGCATGATTTTGAACCAAATAGTTGATTTATGATTGATTATTTAAAAACTCGAAGCTTCTTCCATCAAATTAACCATATACATATTACATAACATGTTTATAAAGATGAAATAGAATATCTAAAACTGCCTGGTCTGAAGAGCATTGCATGTGCCCACTGTCTGGGTTTTGGTTATGGCAAAACGAATTGGCATAGCTGGGCTGGCGTGTTTTCTAATCTATGGCTCAGTGGCGTCATAAGCCCGAAAAAACTGGGGTGGACAAAACAAAGTTTCTCGGCCAAGCGACTTTCTCAAGCAGCATTTTTCGTAACGTTGGCTTTTTGCCAGTGCGAAAATCGAAATCAATCTCATCAGCCGAACGCCCCCCCCCAAAGGTTTTCCAACAGATTTCGAGAAATTTGGAAAGCGACTTTTGGGAAAACTGGGGTGGACATGTCCACCCCAGTCCACCCCATGGCGATGCCACTGCTATGGCTAGCTCATTTTAAAGTCAACTATAATTAGAATGTTCTTTGTTGTGTTTCTTTGCAGTTTCAGAATTTTTTGTACACAACCAGGACAAAAGTATTGCAACACCCTAATCAAAATGGCATTCAAAAAATTTGAAGTTTTGCAAACTTTATAACTTTTTGCTTAAATATTCCCCTCAAAAATAAACAAAATCATGCTAATCAAAGAAATAATTTTCTTTGAACTTTATCAAGGATTTTGAAACACTTAAAATTACAATATCAACTTAAGAAATTATACAGTTATGAGAAAAAAAAATTTCTGCAGTGGTGAAATCAAAATATTAACAGGATAAAGGAGTGAGTAGTTGTGACAAACCTTTGTGTAACTGTCTTGATTTTAAAGATTTCAAAACTTTTTATAGGAAATGATAACAAAATAGTGAGGGTTTAGGATACAGCAAATGAAGTCATTAGTTCTGACTCTTTTAGCCGACGTTGCTAAAACGAGCAACAAGCGGAACAACCTAGTAACAAGCGGAACAACCCAGTAACAACCCAGTAACAAGCGGAACAACCCAGGAACAAGCAGAACAACCCAGTAACAAGCGGAAATGTGAATTAATTGTTTAGTAAATGCCACATGGGGGCGTTTATAATCCAACTCTCTGAAGTTCGTGTGGGCTAGAACTATCAAGAGGCCGTCAATCATGTCTTCATCTGTTTCGGAGGCTTTGTGATTTTGCCAACGGACAGAGAGAATCTATGAACCCCGGATCGGGACGAAAAATAAATAGTAAAGCATGCCTAAAGGGGTATGGGGAATGATCCCCCAGAAATTTTTGAAAATGGTGGCTGCTCTGGTGGCTATTTTGGTTGCTAAAATAGCTATGCTGGGTAAACTGCTCTGGCGGCAGTGGCTAAGATAGAGGGAATCAGAGGGGGGCAACAAAACCCTATAGAGCTAGACAGAGGGGCAATTCACTCTTGAAAATTGCGTACAAGATTTTACCAAAACTTAAGGATTTCTAGGGATTTTCAGATAAAACAATAGGATTTTCATAAAAGGTGTACAAGATTTTCTTGGAGTGATTTGCCCCTCGAGCTAGACTCCTATTTTGTCGGAAAACCTCTGGTCTTCTGGAAATTTTCTATGTTTATCTACTTGCTATGTTTTATAGGAAATAATTTAAAGCTAAATAAAATATCTGAATATGTCAAAATATTTATTTATTTCAGTTCTGATGTCGTTATATTTTGTGTACTTAGATATGATTGTATTTAGAGTGTATTATGGCTCTTCAACTAAGTTTATTTAGATAAATTAATTTTTTTATGATGATGATGGAAATGCCAAACATTGGTTGCGTGTTTGTCACCCTTCCATCAAAATTTCACGATATTGCGCCATTCAATCACCTGGGGAGAAAAATGACACTGATGTGCCTACAAGAAAAATCATGCCCTGTCGTGGGATAAAAGTCAGAAAATCCAGGAACCAGGAAACTGATGGTTTGCCTAGAATCATTTTTACTGAGACGGAAAGTTAACCTCTTCTTTAATCCAAATTATAAGTTGTAAGAGGTTGCCCATTATATTCCTTCCCGTGCAGTACATTGTTATAAAGGAAACATACTACAGTAAGACAATTATTGGTGGGGCTTCAGAAATCCCCCCAGCCCCCCGGCTCCGACAGGCCTGAAAAATGTGATTGCAACAGGGCTACATGTACATATTTACACTATGGCATGCACATCTATTTGCAACAGTGTGTCTGTTGTGATCGAATGTATAGGCATGCTTTACTTTTTATTTTTCGTCCCGATCCGGGGTCGATAGATTCTCTCTGTCCGTTGGCAAAATCACAAAGCCTCCGAAACAGACAAAGACATGATTGACGGCCTCTTGATAGTTCTAGCCCACACAAACTTCAGAGAGTTGGATTATAAACACCCCCATGTGGTATTTACTAAACAATTAATTCACATTTCCGCTTGTTTCTGGGTTGTTCTGCTTGTTCCTTGGTTGTTCCGCTTGTTACTGGGTTGTTACTGGGTTGTTCCACTTGTTGATGGGTTGTTCCGCTTGTTCCTCGTTTTAGCAATGTCGCTCTTTTAGCCTCAAAATTCTCCAACACAACTTGGGTAATTTTTGGGCACAGTTGGGCCCATATAAATTGGTAAATCATCAACTAGTGACAAGCGAATTAATGCAATAGAATGTGTCAAAATAATGAAAAACAGTTTCGTTGGTGAAATCAAATCAATGCTAGGTAAACGAGAGAGGCAGTCTTTTTCAAAAAAGCAATTAATTATCCTTATGAGGCCATTTTTACTCAAATTTACCTGAAGTTCTGCAAACTATATGTCCTTCCTCCGCCATCTCAAAGACTTAATCTTAAAATAAGCAAATATTTCTTGTGCCCATGAAAATGATCTGATTTGAAGGTCCAGACAAGAACTGACTTAGAGTGTTTATGGAGAATAGAAGAGAATCCCAGTGCATTTCATCAACAAATTTTGTGCATCAATTCCAAACCAATTTTTCGCACTAGAACCAGGAGTACTTCCACAAAATGTTTATTTAATTATAAGTTACTTGAATAATTGTCGTTTCTAAAAGACTGAACATTCCAAGAACAAGCTGAACTACCCAAGAAAACCCCAAGAACACCTTTAAGAACAAGCTATTAAGCAGCTGAATATCCTTTAAAACATGTCAAAATGGCATATCATTCTAAAAATAATTTGGTCAATCAATCAAAATTAATTTTTGGGTTTGAAGGGGCCTGATTAGTCTAATGCTGTTGGTGTTGTTACAACCAACTGATATTTTGCACACCAAAAGTGTCAACGGGGGTTTCTACATGTGGAGCAAATTCGAGTTTGACCCCCTTTGTGCATTCAAGCAATTTCCTGTTGTTTTGTAAATCTTTCACATCCAGTGACAGTGAATGTTGTTTTTACTTGTTTAAACAGGGCTATTCCACTGGTAAAAATACAACACGTTACTTGACTACCTATTGTCCTCCAAACAATTGTTCTTCCAAACTGCTAATTTGCCCAAATGGTCATGGTATGCTAATAGTGCACTCTCTTTCTGAAAGCAGAATCCTACCTCTATGAAGCAGAACGAGACACACACCCGCTCCCCATGGGCCGATGCAGGCCCACTTCCTAGATAGGATTTTTATAAGGGGATTAGAAGGGATTTTTTGACAAATGGAACAGAAAATGCACAGTGTAGGACTTATTAGAGGGTAGCGGCAGGGCTATAGCATGCGACTTAAAAGAGAACTTTGGAGGGGCAAATTGTTGGGGCCCATGCTCGAATGGGGCCATGATAATTTTACTTGAACTATGCATGTGGCAGAAATTGCGTGGGTTTTGGAGTGAGCGCCTGAAATGAGCATTTAAAAATGTTTAGTGACTGCCAAAGCAGCGCCATAGACTTTCCAAAACAATGATCTTTGCCATTGATTAAAGTCTCCATAATTTTGCTTTACATTCATATTTTCATTGAATTCCAATTATTTTTGTTTGTTGGTGCATCAAAGTTTCCAGTTAAATCAATCTTTTCTAAATTTTGTCCTGAATTTTTTGCTTTATATCACATGTTTCATGCCAGAGTTTGTGCGCCACTGCTCTATTTTTTGCATGCAAATGGGATCTCTGACTGCTTCATTTCTTGTGATCAAAACTGCCTTGAGTTTAACATTCCTTTTCCTTCAATGGGTTATGTTCATTTCAAACTCTCCAGGACTGATGTTGTGACTTGATTCGAATGACCCAGAGAAATTGAACAAAGTGACAGTCTCTTCATTGTTTATTGAAAGGAGAGCTAAAGGGAGTGGAGGTAGCCCCCACATCATCTAATGTTCACCACAGACTGAACAAAGTAATACTTCTTTGCATTTTTTGTCCCAAATTGCAACCACATAAAGGCAAATTGGTTTGTACACACCAGCATGCCAGAATTAAGGGGACACACCAGCACACCAGGCCTTTTGTTCTTTCTTATGGAAGATCTCAACACAATGTGTCATACTCTGCAAATTGGGAAACAGCAGTTAGAGCACATACTTTAGTACTTTGGAAAAAGATTGTATGTAATTTGAAAGCCCTGGAAAATTTTATAATTGGGACATTTTATGACCTTTTAGCCACTGAGGCCCATGATGATGATGGACTTCCTCATACATTGGAACATTTAGTGTTTATGGGATCTGAAAAGTATCCATACAAGGTTTGTAAAACTTTTTCAGGAACTGTTGCTAAGTTCTTTACCAGTATGGTATGGAATAGTGGGCACACAGTCAACTGGTATAGGAGCAAGGGTGCATGGGGGGGGAGGAGAAAAGGAGGCATGTCCCTTTCACCTTGCTTTCAAACCTGATGTAATGCAATCCTCTTTTCTGAACAAGAAGTACACTTCTTGAGATTAGATGCCCAACCAAATCTGAAATTTGATGTCAATATGTAATTTTGTAGTCACCAATGAAGTATAGTCTTCTCTAAAAACATATTCTGATCTGGATGGATGTCTAAGGCATCTAAGAGTATACTCTTTTTTACTTAATAGTAGGTTATACTTTGGAAAAATTGATTTGTTAATTGATTTTCTACTTCCCGAAAAAATATCCAGAGCCAAGAAGCTAGCTTCCTTCAAAATTAACTTTTGAGCATGCCCCTGGACTTTGCTATTAGAACATGTCTTTAGTATAGGTATGTGTGAATCTACATTGCTATACCTGCCTTGAATTATCTAAACCAATCATAGTCAATTGTCTTCGGTTGATAAGAATCACGATCTAACATAATTTTTTTGTATGAAAATTACCTTCAGGGTCTTCTAGATTTATTTGCAAACAGATGTCTGGCACAAGGGACTAATGCATGGACAGATGTTGATCATACAAGCTATACACTTACAACTGCAGGAAGTGAAGGATTCCTCAACATGCTTCCAATTTACTTAGACCATATTCTTTATCCAACTTTGACAGTGAGTTTTCTTATTTTGATCTTATCAAATTAGCATACCACACTCTGCTGAACACGAGGATTAAATGCCTGCTTGATTTAAGAATTAGTTTTGGAAAATAATGTGTAGATTATAGTTTTCTATCAATTTGTAGCCTCAAAACTACATACTGTGACACTTTATTCAAATAGCAAATAATACACATTTACAAAGCAATATTTGTGAGAGACATGTTAATTTAAATAGACTTACACCTCAACTTATAAAAGTTGAGATTCTTGAAGCTTTTCTGGCATGGCTGACAATATTGAGGTTATCCTGATCTCTTTCATATTTTATCATTTTTTAGAAATCTGCTTACATAACAGAGGTTCATCACATTAATGGTGATGGCGAAGATGCTGGTATAGTTTATTGTGAAATGCAGGCCAGGGAAAATACTGAAAGCAGTAGAACATATTTAGAATTCACACGAGCGATGTATCCAGGCATCTGTGGCTACAAGGTACTTTCAGCTGTTTTCACCAAGACAGCCAATGTAATGTTTCTAAGACTTTAGCCTGGGCATTGGTTATCTTGTCACTAAATAGTAGCTAATTATCAACTCTGAGGAGGGGGTGGTTCTGCAGCCTCCAGTCCAAAGCTAGCTTGATAATTTTTAAGAAGAACAAAACTGATATCTCCAATGAAAAGAATATTTGGAGTAGTTTCAAGGTTTCTTCTAGAAAGTGGGCTGTATCATAACCTTAAAGATACTGAACCATAGCCTTATCGCCAGTTCCTCCTTTGCTTTTGTGGATAACACTGTTGCCTCACGCCACAGTTGGCAGCTTTTAAAGAAGAATGAATTAAAATCAGATTATGGGCCAGAAAGGCCTAGGTATTGTTTTGAAAAAGGTTGTCTGGAATTGGAAAGTTCAAACCTTGCAGCTTTTAAAGAAAAAAGATTGAAATCAGGTTCTGGGCCAGGAAGGCCTTGGAATTTTTTTAAAAAGTTTTGTCTGGAATTGAAAATCCTGAAGACAAAATATTTAATTGTAAATTCGTTATAACTATGTAACAGATTTTGTCTCAAGAATGTCTCAGGAAAAGCTTTTAACTTTAATATCAGGAAAAGTGAGATCTATTTTGATTTTCAGAGTGAGACTGGTGGGATGACCAAAAACCTGAGGACATCATGTAGTCACGAAAAGGTATATATTTAGATCTGATAAATTTATGGGCCTAAGGAAGCTCACTAGCAGTTTAATGTACATGCCTGAAATATGAATAAGATAAATATAAAAGCAGATAGTGTAGTGACCATTGTCATTTTTACTCTTATCCTTCATTGTATCTTTGTCATAAATAATTGACGTTGTCATTTCTATCGAATATGGTTTTCTGTAGCCTGTAAATGCACCAAGACGCGAAGGTCATGTAACATAGTCTATTGCTCACGACTCTGTGATTTCTTCACGTTAGATAAGATATAAGATCCCTCCCAACAGAAGCAAAGTATAGGAAGCAAAATATAGGAATGCATCAACATAAACAAATTTTGCTGTTATTGTACCATTATTGCAATTTTTTGTCTTCATCATACTGTATTTGTCCGGCCAGTAATTCTTTTTACTAGAGGCAACTGGTATATATAAATGAAGGCAACTAATGATACATCACTGATGTAGATATTCATGAAAAGCTTGTTAGTTTCCTTGAGATTCAGGTTTAGGACGTGGTGGGAGGTGGTTTCTAAATCAAAGAAATCTGCCTAGAAAGGGATAATTTGAAAAAGATTTGTTTTACATAAGATTAATTCATATTATCAGTTAGTTGAATCATTGAGACTTTGGCTGTATTTCCAATGTCGACGACAATCTGTCTCATTGAATGTTGGATCGGATTTATCTGCAGATTCAAATTTTGACAGTAACTTTTCTTCAAATGTCAGGGACAAATTCCGAGTAGCTGTGATAATCTAAGGTGCATTTGTATTCATTAAAAAGAAGGAACAAGATTGGGTAAATTGTCTTAAAGAGTGTTAAAATTTTTTGAATCACCAATCATCATTTTGGTTCGAGCCAAGATTTTTTTAACCTCTGAAAAGGTCAGTTTTTGGTATGTCCGTAATAACGTGTCTTTTTAACACACATAGCTCATGCTTAGGAGATTTTCTTATGCTTTGAATTAGCATAACCGTTAATACAATGTCTTATTCAGGTTTGCACCTACCACGCATCATTTTACCGTCCAGAGAATCTATGTGTTATCGTCACTGGACAGGTTGAATCAAGAAATGTTTTGAAAGTCGTCAGTGACTACGAAAAAATAATTCTTGAAAAGGTATTTCACAGTTATGGTATTATTCCAAGATCACTTTTGGGGCTCGGGGATTTATCAATCCTTTTTTTGAAACCAGCTTTCTTTTGCCTTTCATTGGCCAAAACCCTTTCTAATTTTTTAAAGAATATTTTGTTTTAGCCAGAAGAACACCTGACTGTTTTTTGGGCAAAAATAAAAGAACAATCTAATATCCGATTCGAACACTATCTATGACCTTGCCGCCAGTAGCATTACTAATCCTGTAACTGCGGTTTAAAAGCTCTTACAAAGCATTATAAAAATAAATCAATGCCTTGCAGATTTTCTGATTTGTTCATGCTATTGTTGAAGGGTCTTCTCTTAACTTATTCAGGTACGCATGTATTGCTTTGATCATGTTTTATGTGGTTAACATGAAGTAAAGACAATGAGGGCAGCCTTGTTTCTTTCTGTTACCCTTTCACAGGCTTGCACTCCACAGTCAAACCTGGTCTTATTATGTATTTTTCTTCGCCTAAAATTATTTTTGCGATTTAGGGGGCAAGACGAGATAGAATCCCTATACAGGCCAAACATGCGATGACGCCCTGTAGACCGCCAATTGAAGAAAAGTGCTTAAGAGAAAGTTGTTGAATTTCCGACGGAGCATGAGTCACAATGGCATGATATTGATTGGCGTTGGAGAGGCCTCATGTACAGGTAAAATTATACTTTTTCCTTTTTGCAATATAAAGTCCCTTGTAATAATTAGCAGAACATTTTCTTCGAAATCTAATCTCACACTATCAATAAAACGCGTACACAACCCCAAAAACCCATATACACAACATACTAACCTCAATACTCTCTAATTTTCTACATCAAATTTGTCTTTTTGCGTTTTTACCCCAGCACAGCGAAATCAATGCAACAGTATCCAGCAGATATCACACCTACTATCAGATAACATCACTCTCTCCAGCATCACCAACAACTCCGCTCAATACTACATAATATCCTTTCATCCCCAACACACCACTACACCTCTTCAACTCGGTAGATAGAAGCCTACCAATTACCTTACACATCCAACATAAACAAATTAAAAAGCATTTAAATCAACATCAACAATCACTACACACACCGGACTAGACAACATTGCTATTTGAACATCCAGACCACAACAACTCCAGAAAATAGAACAACCGCCCCACACAAAAACCACCACAACCTCACACACTCTCCTCGAGAAAACACTCTAAGAACCAAAACTACCTAGCCCCCCCAATAACAATTCCTGGCCCATATATATATTAACGTTCAACCCAAACACCTACGTTCACAATATCATCTCTGAGAACTATCAACATGCCCAGCCTAAGAAATGATCCACACGACATACCAACACCTAATTCATCTATTACTTGACTTCGCATCTAAATAATAATCATATCGCAAGTAAAATCCGGCCACACCGATGACAACAGTCAAAAACAACAAAAGGCCACGCCACTTAAATTACTCATTTATTGTTTTCTACCAAAAAGAAATATTAAACAAAGAGCTTGACGCGTTGGGACATTTCTCATCGCAAGTACTCTTGACTGAATACGTCTGACTGGCACCTTTGGCAAAAAGAGCTTGGTTGAAATTGAGGACCCAATTAATGCAGTGACGTCTAAGACATCAAATTCCTTTTATATGATGCAACCTACCACGATCATTGAAACAGGACAGGTTTTTGAGATTATCACTCTTTATCACTCCGTTAAATGTAAAAAACACACAAAAACACCAACCACCACCAACAAAAACCAACACCAAAACAACAACCCATACTCCCCACCCACACCAAGCCCACACAACAACCCAACAACATCACTAAAAACCCCACACCCAAGAACACCACAACCCGCCCCACCACACAAACAACAATCATCCACCCCCACAACAGAATATCACCGAACTCCAACCAGACAACACAACCAACCACCCCTACTCCCCCCACACGAAACACACCACAAAACCCCAAACCCACACCTCAAACACCCCACCACCCCACTACCACAACCCAAACCCCACAAACAACACGCCCAGAACTCCACCAAACACAAATACCACCACCCAGAGCCCACACAAACCACACCACCAGAGCAACCATCACCCCAACCAGCACCAGCGCATGCAAACCACCATCATCCCAACAAAAATACTCACATACATCTACTACAGCCGGTGAGCCGCACAGATCTATAACCAACCTAACAATCAACACATCAACAACAACAACAACCGACACACACTCCAGCGACACAACAACAACAAAAACACAAGATCCACGAACAAACAACACAAAACAACCCACACCCAAAAGCTCAACAACAAATGGGCCACCATCATGACACGCACTGCAAAGAGGACCACACCCTATATTCACAACGCAGCAACACAAATATGCAACGGGACGCTATCTAGAAGAAGCATGATAGGGATACCCAACATTGGACACTGTAGCCCGCAGATATGAGAACGACAAACTTCTAGCATACCACGCCCAGACCTCACAGCGAGCGCTGAGAGCAAACAAACAGGCCGAATAATTAGATGACGGACTCTAATGCATAAACACCTAACAAGCTCCGCTAGCACACAGACACCCAAAACAAAGACCAATCAACATAAGAGCATATAACGAATTACAACCAAATACGCTCACACTCACACCGAACACACCCATACGAACTCCAACCCACCGACCAACCACCAACACACCCCCACCAAAACCCACGACCCTTGCAAATGAAAAATCACTATCCTCGAACCCAACTAACCCTTGAAACACACACACAAATACAAGAACACGGTAACCCAAGAAAAGCACATCAGATAGCAGCTCGCATGAACTCACGAATGATATATAGGCAGAAAACATTTTTCCTACACCAACTGCCATAACCGACCCAAAAACAAGCTCTTCCAAATTATCTGCCCACACTGTAACGGCCATCCAACTCTTCTACACAACCCTCAGAATGTACGCGGGAATTTGCAAAACAAAAAAACAGCTAGTATCATCAACCTTACCAATAAATTTCCTTTCATGATAACTCAGAACACACCAACAAACCAAAAATAAACGTACTATATATGGACAAATGAAACCGACCATGAACACAGACAGGCTCACAAGTGCTTAGAAAAATCATAAATTACACCCACAAATACATACAACTCAACTTCACTTATATCATCAAATTCCTCACTATCCAACGAAATAAATTTTTTTCGCTACCACAATCTCTACGAATACCTCCTATTTGATAAAATCCTAACTATCTGACTAACGAACTCACAAAATCACCATTAGAATTACAAGAACAATATTCCGTCCTTATAAATGCCTACAGCAAATTTTACCAACACACAAATATGCGCAACAAAATTTAAGAATACAGTATAGAATATTCATATGTCTTTAACATATGAGCACCACGACCTATACTGGCGGAAGGACAAAAAAATAGCAAACAAAAAACACCCCAAGATAACAGCTGACAAAACCCAACAAAGCACTTCGCATTAATTAGCTTCTAAAACAATCTCGTACCACTGATAGGCACCAGGCCTACCAAATATTCTACAATCCCATTCCTTACCGTCAAAACGATAAACACTGTAATAACAATGACAAAAACTCGATCATGACATTATCTGCCCACGAAGAAACGGATGTTCACACCATTCCCAGTAATCAACTAACACCCAAGCATCTCTCCGAAATCTCAAACTTGCCAAACAAATCGATACCGCAATCCTCCATTCCTACACAAACCACACCACAGCATACACTTACAATAACTATTATCTCAGCATAAAACACATACACCCAACGATACTCTATTTTTATCTATCCAATCTCAATACTACAACTCACATACCAACAATTTCAGCAAAAAGAATTGCCACCCCATCGCACATCACACACAGAAAATTCATACCTTCAAGTCCTCAACCACACAACCAACCCTCACTCAACAACGTCCATTCCTAACAACCTCCCTGCTACATAAAAACCCATCGCACCCTGTTTTTATTGTCCGCGCCCCACACCACACGCACACAGCACACATGTTAAGCTACCTCTCACAAAAACAACAAACCTCTTTTGGCAGGTTTTAATCGCAAAATGATCAAATATACGAACAATTTAGACATGAGTTGGACCAATTTGAAACATTTCGAAAAACCCAAACTCACACTACATGGTGTTCTTTAGGCACTTAACCACAACACACCCCACACACAAACACCCCCACACACACAAATATGATTTGATCATTTTACGTCTTATTAACACGCAACACACCACCACCAGTTTGACACAACATATATTAGCTAGAACCTAAAACCATTGATACACCTTTGCATGGGAAACTCAAAACTTTCCATTCCAGTAATATTTTCTATCAAAGGAACCATGAACAACTATTCTTGCTTCTTTTCTCTGTTTCTTTTTTGTACGCAATAAGACAATAATTGCTTCAAGAGTCCGAGTGTAGCTTTTTCGTGTCCTTGATAATTCATTTCATCAAAATGTTTTCTTCCTCGCTAAAATTTTCTCTCATTGATTTTGTTTATCAAGTAGTAATGTTGATTTTTAATTGCAAGAACTCCACTAAAGCCAGTGTGGTGTGGATTCTCTTTTTAATCAGTTATAATAACAATAATAATGGGCTAGTTCCAGCTTATCCACATAGTTGCTATACATCAGTTATAGTCATACTCTTATAGAAAATGTTTGCAATACCTTTACGTTGAACTAGGTTCAAAAGAAAGTATTTTTATGCCTGCTCTCATTTTAGATTGGTTATTCTGAGTTGGAAAATTTTGAGACATGTTTTCTATTCAAAGCAAGTGGTGTTCCAAAAGAGAAATTGTATCAGCTTCGAGAAAGGTAGAATTTAGAGAACATTCATTATAAAACGTTGCTGTGTGAGTATGTAGTTAAAAGGCCTTATAAATATTCAATGGATTGTATTGAATACAACTACCCCCCCGCCCCCCATTCACAATCATCACCTTAATAATAAGCAGTTTCATTCAAAGGACATAAATTTGTTCAAAAAATTCCTTACAACTTGCCTCAAGACAGCGAGAACCTCCCTAGAACAAACGGTTAGTCTGGATCACTGTTTGAAAGTCTCACTGTATAGAAAGCTCAGCAGTTGGTTCTTAGCCTAGATAGATAATCATTATAAAATTTTTTTTGAAAAAACGATACAGGTTAGGTTGTGGCCGGGCTAAGCAAATTTAAAAAATACTGCTGTCTTTACCTAATGCTTGAGGAATAGATTTACTTGAAGCGGTAACAATAGTCTTTTTATGGCTAGATGTTTACATGTTATCTCCATAATCCCATTCTTTGTTTTTTTTGCTTTTAAGCCTTGGTGAATTTATAGCCTATAATTTGTCTACCTTTTTCTTATCGTTTTGAAACGGTTCTGAATTTTCTACTTTTACTTAAGTTGCTGCAAAAATCATTCGGATGAATGTTTATTATTGTTTTGTCCATTAATTCTGTTTGTTAAAATTCATTGCAGTGTGGAAAAGGTTCTTCAGCAAATAGCAACAGGCCAGTCTGTATTAGACATGGAACGTATGAATACCGTTATTCACCGTGAGATTTTAGACAGCTTGGATAAAGTAAGTGTTATCTTTTGACTTCTTTTTCAGTGTTAACAACAGTGCTGCCGTTGTGGACAGACACGTTAAGCTTTTTGAGCCTCACTCACTCACTGCTCAAGTAACAGAATTCAGGTTAAGGCCCTAGGTACTTTGAATCAAGTAATTATATTTTTTAAAAGAAGGTTTCCTGCTATGAGTTCTGGAAACTGATTATTCCAATTGACTTTGACATTAGCGTCCAAGGAATTTTTTAACATAAAACATCTTGTCTGCATGATGAGGGAAAATAAAAGTACAATCGAAAAAGAAAAACTATTTCTGTGTTTTAAATGTTTATTGGTAGTCACTCTCATTGCTGTTGTGTCACTTCTAATATTCGTGTATTTTTAATTATATTGGATGCTCAATTTTTCATAGGATTGACAATTTGAAAAAGGTGGTCTTTCAGAGTTGGAGTGAAAACCGTGCTAAAATGTTAGGAACTGATAATCGTCTTAATCATGCTTGTTATATTTGTGCTGCAAATTCTCAGGAATCATCATTGTGTGTCTGTGTCAATGCGTGAGAAAATTGAAAGATTTTCATTGATAGCCTTTGTTATTTTAGCTTGAAGATAACCCGCATGATACAATGGCCCAGGGACTCATTGGTGACTTTTTGTATTCCAATAAACCGGAGCAGGTATGTTAATCATGGAGATCACTAAGAGAAGTCGTAGTACGTTAATTGACCTTGATCTTTAATATCCTCTTTTTTATGCCATGTAACTTCCTTTTCACAACCATATTTATCTCTTAACATCAATGCTAGCAAAATATCGATACTCCCATACCTGTTACAATGTGAATCCATTCTTGAGCAAGTTTTTCTTTTTCAGCTCAAAGAGTATCTAAACGACCTGCCACGTTTGGAACAGCTGAACAAGGAACCGGAACAATTCTGGATTGATTTGTTAAAAAAATACCTCATCGACAGGCCTAAAGTTGTGGTACAGTCTTCCATTTATACTTGTAAAATGTGGACTTGGAAATGCGAATCTTCTTAGTTTAACAGCCCACGAACTCATATTTTTTACGCTTGTAGTGCTGTTAATCATTTTCTAGTCTAGTCTGTTTTCAAAAATTTTTGATTTAATCTTTTTGATTCTATCATTTCTTCAGTGTTTATTTTTATATACAATCTTAGAAAAATATGTTCCATGTGATGAATGGATGGAAATTAAATCTTGAACTGAACAAGCAAGGAACAAAGCGCTTTTTATTTTGGACTGAAGGCTATAGTTCAATTAATCAATACTTTATAAATGAAATACTTGAAGTAATAAGAAGTAATACTTGAAGTTCTTTTTCTGAACCCTTTTATTATTTCATCTCATTCGCCTTTTAGTTCTTATATTGACTACCTCAGTTTTCTGGGAAGAGCTTTCTATCTAGTTCTTTTTTCCCACTTTGCTATGTTGTCCCTTTAAAAGCATAGAAAATAAAAGAGAACAATGATTAAAGATTTCTCCACTAGATCATTGGAAATCCAAGTGAAAAGAAGATGAAAGAGATGGCAGAAGAAGAGAAACAGCGGATAGAGGAGCAAAGGAAGTTACTTGGAGAAGATGGTCTGTCAGAGAAAGAAGATGAATTAGAGAATGCAACTGACGAAAACGAGGTACCGTCTCAGTGAGAGTTTTGTTATATGTCTTCATTCTGATACCTTTTATAAGTAAGCTTAGTTTTACTGTTTTATATGCTACTTACAATCCCTGACAAAAGTTAATAAAGCATCCAGTTGCTTAAGTGCTCTTTTGAAAATATTACCGTTTCCAATAAAAGTGACTGACACTGCACCCCCTCTCCTCCAAAACAACGTTACTTGTAGAGTTAAATGTCATAGCTATCTGAATTAAATCTATTGGACCACACTGAACCTCTTAGCTTCACAAAAAAGCATTGGTCAATGAGAAGAGGGGGATGCAGTATGAAATATTCAATACTTTGTGTGGCGTAACAAGACTTTAGGCGGGCCTTGTAGCTTAAAGTGGAGCGGCCCTGTGACTCTATAGTTAGTTAAATTTGATTTTAATTTTGGTGAAGCCTGTGACAGTATAGTTGCAAACTGTGGCGTTAGGTATTTCAATGTTGAAAAAACTGAAAGATTTTACATTATCGCTTTATCTTGGATCTATATATTGCAAAGCCCGTTCATTTTTATTCCCGTTATTATAGTACCCGATTTGCTCAATTAAAAGTTTTTTCCAGGTCGAGCCGCCACCGAATCTCGTAAGCTCGATGAAAGTACCATCAACCGACAGCATACCATTCCATGCCATTCGAACTGCTACAAACACTCGGAAGACAGAGAATTCCCCGGCAAAAGTACCAAAGTTTCATGTGTCAGAAATCCCATTCGCCTTCCAGCTGGATAACATCAAATCTTTGTTCCTTCAGGTTTGTTTATCAAGTCACTTGGAATTTTCAATGAAACATTGTTGAACCTTTTCACGAAAGGCCCACATGAAAAAACTCTATTTCAAATGTGATATATCACAATCAAAGGACATAAAAGAGTCCGAGGAGAGCAAACGTAGAAGGGTTTAGAGTTTGTTCCTTACAGGGCGATAAAAGTTTTCCCAATCAGAAAAGCTCAAATTTTTTATAGAGCTGAGTTGTAGTTGCATGGGGGATTTTGCTTGTACCATCCTGATTTTTAATAGCTACTTCCTACCTTCGATGCAATTGCTAAGCATTATTTTATCATTTATTCTTTATGATTATTTTGGAAATGGAGAATCCAGAAGAAAGGATTTATGGCTGTTTGGTAGCTTAATGAAAAGATAGATGGCCCGAAGAGGTGCAAGGAATGCCTTTTTGGAGCATTAGTTGAAATTAACAAGTTTATGGCTTTATCGGTTTACAACCAATTCAACTTAAAAAATTTCTGACGCCAAATTCGAAAAAAGGTATAAACGAATAAGAATTAATAAAACTTGTTTGAATTCATAAAGCTTTGTTACTTTATTTTACCGAATCCTTCTAAACGACTCGTGTCAATGCCGGATCGAGTTAGGGTTCAGCTTCAACGGGTCTCTGTACATTTCAAAACCGGACCCAACTGCATCTGCTGGTAACTTTAAAAGCAGAAAGTATTTTGCCGTATCCAGCGCACACGCAAGACAAAATGCGTTTCAAGCAAAATTTGAGCCAAATATACATGCTCTTGTGCAACAGGGGCCTAAATTGCAAAATAATTGATTTGTAATATACTTTGAAGTTTCTGCCATTTTCTAATTTTTTTGTATAACTTTATGTTACAGATGTCGGTTGTTTTCAATACATCTGCCATCCCGCAAGATCTTCGCTTTTATTTGCCTCTTTACTCAGATCTCATATTTGAATTGCCAATCCTCCGTGATGGCCGTGAGTATGATTTATTGATTATGATATATAATGTATTTGATATTTGTTTAATATAATGTTGCCATCTTTCATGATTAGCATTGGTGGATTGCAACTGTCGCAATCCTTTCGCTGAAAGCTTGTAAACTTCCTCCCAACATGGGTTACAGAGAAGATAACTAATTTGTTTAGATAAATGGAAACTACATGGCTTGTTTCTGTTGCCATAAGAAATGTTGCTTGATATGTTATTACGTTACGAAATTTGTATTCAAATGAGAAATTGAGCCTTGTCAAACGTCATTATTTAGCCTGTCAGCTAGATTTTTTTTCTATCCTACTACTTTTTTTTATTGCAATTCTTAACAAAATTTTCATTTCATTTTATTTCCATTCATTTTAATTAATTTAATGTTGGTTGCCCTTCAGCTAGAGCTGATTTACAAAAGGCCCTCCATTTGAAACTTTAATTACAATCGAACATATTAAAAATTAAACTAAATATGGTATTCCAAGTTCAGAAAGCGATGTTCCCTCGCTCAGATGCTAAATTTGGGTGTTCTATTATGGCCGAATGCATGTAATAAGCCACGGCCAAAACGCAATTGGATTACGATTCACAATGTAATTCTATACTCTTTTGTCTACAGAGCTGATTCCACACGATGACGTGGTAAAACAACTAGCGGCAGATACCCTCTCCAATGCTGCAAGTGTTGGAATTTGTGGCGATACTTTCTCGCCCGGGAGGTGTTCAGAGGTCTTTATGCTCCAACTCAAGGTTAGGTCACTGCCTCTTTCTAATCCAAGCTCACTGCCTCTTTCTAATCCAAGCTCGCTGCCTCTTTCTAATCCAAGCTCACTGCCCCTTTCTAATCCATATGCAATGCCTCTTTCTAATCCACACGGTTAACCAACCTTATATCAGCAATTATTAAGTTCCTCTTCAGCAGTTCTTGCTGTTGTTCAATGAGAATCAGCATTTTATAATGACGTGACACTGTCTTGCATACGGCCTTGCATCAATTGTATTAAGATAATTTTTATACCAACAAGGATGTGCATGGCGCTTTAAGTTATGGTTTCAAATTTGAAGATGATTGAAGAAGGTAGGGTACAAACCAGCGGAAATATAGCATGCTAAAGTACTTTTCGTCCGACACTCTTCAGAGTATAAACGTCGAATATGGTCCAAAGTAGGCAGACAATTTATACCCAGGTGCTTAATGCGCATTTTATTACTGTATATATCATAGGGAACAAGTGGGGGGACAGTGAGAGGACATTTCAAGAGAAGAATGAAAGTTTTCTACAGTTTGTATTAAAACAGGGTTTAGGCAATATTTAGACAATATCTGTTTATTCCACTTGCTTATGATTTAGTAATCTAAGCAACTATAAAGCATTTTTGTATATTTGAAGAAATGCTTCACCTGACTCTCGCTCTTCTTTTTATAGTTTTTTAAAAAACCTTACTGAGCAAATTCAAACCGCCAAAGGTAAAGGGACATGGCGTCTGCTAATAGCCATGACACGAGCGATGATGATGTATAGTAAAGATGTTGTAATTTAAGCTATTGCTCAAATGTTCTCAAATTAGTAAGCTTTATCGGTTCCTTTTGATAATGGACTTTATCTTTCATGTAATCAGATGGATAAAGAATAACTTTAAGGGATATGAACGGAACTTTGAATAGAACATGGAATTGAATCATCCGTTACAACGAGATCCGAGATAGGGACATAAAGGCGTGTCAGCTGACCCGAGTGATGGTAACATTTCTCTAATGAACTTTTTTGCTGTCCAAGCTTTTCAGTTGTGGGCTTATGTTGTTGTTTTATAAGTATTCATTTATCATTCTAATATAGATGGAAACTAGCAAGTTTGAGAGAGGTATTCAGTGGCTGCGAGAGCTGTTATACAAAGTGCAATTCACTGCTGACCGAATCAAAATAGTCGCAACCAAGATTCTGAATGACATACCCAAGTTAGTAAAAGCCTTTTAAAGTCAAAAGTCTCTTGGACCTTTTAAAATCCCTTTCTATCTTCTGCTTGAATGCTGACAGCATACAGCCTAGATCTTGCCTACACCAAAGTTTGAAATAACTAGAACCTTGACTACTTTTGCCTCTTCCCAATTCGACTTTCATTACTAACACAGGAAAAACTATCTTAGGTCTACACAGAATAAACAATTCAAGCCGTGAGCCTCGCCAGTTCGAGAAACTGATGTTCAACTATATTTGCTTATTATGTGCCTCATGTTATCAACTCTACTTTCACTATCTACTATAACAGTCCTTTGTATGTTTTTGATACTTCCAACGAACTTTCTTTCAATCCATGATAATATATTAAAGTCAATTTGAACTGGATATCCCAATTGATAGAGGGCTGAAGTAGCGGTTTAAGCTAAATGAGGTCAAGTGGAGGAGTAAGAGGAGTAGGGAAGATAATAAATTAAGCTCCTTTGAATGAACCTGGGTTGGATCTGTTTTCTTTACATATATAAATTTATTAAGATCTGTATCCTTTTATAGATTTGATATCATTTTGTGGGAACTGACGCTTTATCTGTATTTGTGTTAGAAAATGACGATTCATTTCTCTATTAATGCCCGTTTGTTCACTACAGCGAAAAACGTTCTGGAAAGAAAGTTGCCCAAGCTTTGATAAGAGACATCTACTATGTGAAAGGTTTGTCAACAGTGTTTTTGATCGATTTATCGATAGCAAACATTGAGTGTTGTTCGTGTTTGTTTTGAAGCATTCTTCCCAACCTAGCTGAAATTTAGACCTTTTAAGTGCTTAGACCCTTTAAGCATGGCTCCGGATTCCTTAATAAAACAAGCCTTTGTTTGGGTGTTTTTTTATTGCTTTCATTTTCTCTGAAAGCTAGGATCTTGATTCATTGCTACAAATCAAGGAAATGCTAATCCTAGGAATTTTCTTTAAAAGCAGAGTTTTCAAGTGGATGTGGTAATCACATAGCTGCTAAGATTTCAGTATTTTACCATGTCAACCGTTTGAACTTCTAAGTCTATTAGTCTGGTCTTGGATTCTTGTCACGATAAAAAAGCATGGCAATACATAAACAAAGTCTTTGAATGTCATGGGCATCAGTTTGTTGTATCTCTGCGAATATTATTCAAATGAATTTCAGATTGAAATGAAAACTGCAAGATTCATAGAGAGTATTCATCTTCCACAATGCATTTTCAGTTAAAAGTTATTTTTCGGGCCATGTGTTATTTATGGTGATAATAACATGACAGGAGGAATTTCTTTTGACTTTGTTTAATTATAACACGAGCTCAATGAATGGAGTTATGGTGTCACAAATCTACGTTTTTGCAAAATCGTTTTCTGTATTTCTATAGCAAACGATTCAAAATCAAATGATTTGTATGGTGCTGTATTTCAGTAGAAAAAATTCAATCTATATCTAGCTACCACGAATGATAGCTTTTATCAAATCTCTTCAATGCCAGCTGAAATAAATTGGATTTGAAAAGAAAGCGTTGCTGAATCCGACAGTATGTCACTACCATAATTCGATATTTTCCTTCAATTTAATCTTAACAATGTGAATTTTCAATTGATGTTATGGTGTTTGAGCTAGGTACATGCTACTATAATCTCTTTGAATGCGAACACGATTCATCAAATGTTGAGATCCGTTCGAAAATCAGTGATCGTAAGTAAGAAAATCGTGTATTTTATATCAATGGTCTTTTCTACCAACACAAACGAACAGACGTCGAGTTCATTTTTTATCTATACACTACAATCAAGTATTACAGGTCTTTTCTAATTTTGTTTACAGTGTCTGGCTATTTGTCTCTTGCACTTGATAGAGTATCCTCTTGTCTCATTTTTTGGAGTTCCTTTTTCCTTTGGCGGCTCTTGGCCACGAACAGGTATAAATCGGCATCACCGTTGTCATCAGCATCAATCATGGCCTTCACCCAGGCCAGCTGCTTTAGAACCCGTGCTTTCAATAGCGCCTTACTAAACTCTCTGGGCCCTCGTGTTGTCTCTTTTCGCATCAGCCAATCATTGTCGTTTTTCTTTCGACTTTCTGATCTTCCTACTCGCACAAAGGCATCGACGTCGTGTAGTAAGCTGCATGCTATTATCGTAATAAAGACAAAGTTCTTTAGAGATTCCATTTCCTGCAAGAAAGTACAAGCAAAACCTCAATCATAATTCTGTTTATTTGCACTTTTTAAAAAACTCAAAAAATATAAATGTATGAAAACTTCAACTAAAATAATTTATGTTTAATTATCTGAAACCAATTTGCTTTTGTTAGTGGCTTTCTACCGATCTTCAATGCTCAGAATTTCCTGATATACCTGTAGTCAAAATCTGTACCATTAAAGACTTATTCTGTTATTACATCTGCTTTTTCTATCTTAAGCTGTCTGTCTTATATTTCATCTCTCTATGCCAAATGATGCTGATGTATTTTCTTACAAATAGTGAAAAGAAATAATTCAATCGATTTCATTATTTAACCCCCATGTTAAAGTATCGTTTTATAACTCCTATTTTCTCAATTCATTTATTCTATCTTCTCACTTCCAACAGCCAAATCATTCTTCGAAATCTTTTTGCTACTGCCTTTTTGTGATACTGCTCGGAGTCTGTGGTATGACAAACTTGCTTTCCGTGATTTCACTAGATCATGTAGCAGCTGCTACATCTGATCTGCAGCCTCATTTCTCAATCAATATATCATGGTTGCTTTCTACACCTCGACCCGGCTGTCGGTTTGTTTAATTCAAACTATAGATGTGGTATAGTTATTACTCGTGTGAGAGTACTTCTGAAACTATTAAGGGTTGACACAAACTATTAAATATAACAGAAAAAGATGTTTTATTTATCGCTCTTTTGAAATTATTTAGTTGCCTGAAAATTTGATTAGGTTTGCGTTCCTACAAACCAAAAGGCTTCCGTTGTTTTAGAATTTTCATGCCATTGTGATTCTGGCTACGTAAGACGCACAACCCAAGGATCGCGGGATAGGATAAAACAACATGTTCCTTTAAACATAAGAAAACAGCCTCCTCGATCGTGTAGGTCTAGAAACAGTTAAAGCAAATGATTCTGCCATCAGTCAACATCTTTTAGATAACCCAGAGTATGCCAAAGTCTATATTGACGACATGTTTCAGACATTTGACAGAGCCAGGTCATCTTTTTATCTAGCAGTTTTGGAATCGATCTACATACATAGGGAAAAACCGCTATTGGATAGACAGAAGGAGTTTGTTTTCTCTCATGGACTCCAGTGGTAATTTTCCTATAGGCGTGTGGTAGGGATTGGATAACTAAACCGGTGATGTGCTCGCGTTTTTCTGATTGGCTTTTTTCAAGCCACAACTGGGGATATATTTTGCATCGTGTTCTTTCGGAACCTTATTCTGACGTTTTTTACTCTGAGAAGTTTCAGACAAAAAGCTGTTAGAATGATTGTGAAATGTTTTCTTTTTTCAAGGCCATTTTCAAATATCACTCTTTGGTATTAGTGTGATTGTTAAAATAAAACGTTTCCATGAAAAGAAAAGTTCTGAATTTTTTATAAGAGGTTCTGCTGTATAAACTGTGAAATATACTCCCCCGCTACAGCTTTGGTCTTTGCAGAAAAATATGTTTTTAAAGAAGGTTATATAAGCTACGATTTTTAGAGACTACCATTTCTTTAAACCTGAGTGAAAAGTACAAGATTTGAAGAATTTAGACAAATTGTCTGATTGTTATGTGTTGCAAAATTATAAACTGTCTTTGAGTTTCACGCTTCTACCCTGAGTTTCACGCTTAATGCCATCAACAGGCAACAGTCTGCAGCTTTGTATTCACAGCATTTGGTTGATTAAATAAATTGAATTTCCTTCCTGTCTTTTTTCTGATTTATTTGTTTTTTCAGCTCTATATATTTGGCCCCTTCGTATGTTTTTATACGCTATACACGCTTTCAAAGATAAGAGGCGTTTAAGATCAACTTTGGTCATGTTTATTTGAAAATATTTAAAAGCAGAAATACTTCTCTGTAAATAAATATTTCTAAACGATTTCATGCGCACTGTCTAAAGAACCTGCCAATTCATCCGTTTTTCTTGATCGTTGAGTTTGGCGATCTTTTTCAACAAGAGAATAATTTTACGTCCCATCTTAAAATAGTACGTTTAGAAATTGTTCAAGGTTTTTTAAGGATAAATAGCAAATTTCGGCCACCAACTCGTACGTATTTTCGAATTAGGTTCTTGCTGAAAACATCAGTTTTTCGTAAGCAAAATAAAATGATATGAATTTCGCCCAAAAAAGAAAAACACCGCTTGAATCTAGTCCAAATGGCATTCATCAAATAACATAGAAATAAAGTAGATTTATACTTGAAGTGATGAATTTTCACGCAGAGAATTGTATGCCAAGCTGATGATCTTAAGCTTTCGCGGCTTTGACTTTTTTTCTCTCATAAAATGCGTTCTTTAAGCGCTTATTTTTTAGTGTTTATCTCTATTTAGTATTTCAGTTTTTTTCTTCAACTTCCCGACTGCCATCCTTAGCTTCACATTTTCTCCAAAATTACACGATAAATTTAACTGGCAAACAATCTAGATGCAACATCAACTCCTATTTTCCGCCCATATTAGCAAAACTGTACTACTACGGAACCCTGATTGTGGTTACAATGCTTTTTTCTACTGCTCAGTTTTTGAAGTTATATTACATCGAACTGTGATTGACAAACTGGAAAATATATTGGACGCCCATTCATCTGTATCTTATGTGTATTAAAGCTCGCGCAAATAAGAAATTCACGGATACCCATACATGATTTTATTTCTTTTTTAGCCTTGTAATTTGGAATAGCATTATGATATTCTATGTTCTTATGACGATTATTTTTAACTCCGAATTTCCTTTAGAGCACTGCCAATACAAATTTTTGAATGAAAATTACAACGTTTTATCTCCAACCATATAGTGTTTACAGCTGCATGCATTCTTTACGTATGGAGTTTAAAAAGATACCAACCTTCCTTTTGTGGTAGAGTCGACTTGTCCTTAAAACCTAGCTGTGTTTCCTACAACTGCGCACCTAGATATGACAGGCAGCGTGTAAATCCTTCTCGAACTCCGCTATCATTATTAATGAGATGAGGAGCACAGCGATGGGCTTTTTAAGGAAAATTGTACATGACGTATAATGCGTGATATCGGGGTCAGACTGGCAGATGTATGATTTTTGCTCTGCTTGTTAATATTTAAAGCAAGCCCTTCGGTTGAGATCTTTGAAAGAATTTTTCTTCCGCTAACCTTATTGAAAGTTGAACTACACTCTAACGGGATGTACATGTACTTACAATCTTTTATTCAAGAGAAGTTTTGGGCTGAGCCGTGTTATGTTATTAGTAACTCTATACAAGCTTGAATATAATTGAAATTGGCTATTTAGCGTAAGATGCCGTTCGATGTTTAATAAGAACCACATGCGCAGCGATTTGTTAAAATAGATTGATCGTTTGGTTTTTTTCTGCAATAGTCGTTTCTTGAGCACATCAAATTACATTATGATTAGGTTACACCATCACTTTAAACATATGTTAGTATTAATTTTGTTAATTTAAGCTTTGTTTATCTCTCTCTGCACTTGAAAAGCAAAAGGAGTAATAAGATGGCGAGAA